TCTGCTCAGGGCTGCATGGAGTGCACAGCAGGAAGAATGGGGGCAGAAGAGCAGCAGACAGGGGCTGGAGAGGGTGGGCCGGTGGGCGCAGCGACGGCAGCGGGGGCTAGTTGAGGACCACGCACCTGAGCTGTGTAGCTTGCTGGAGGCTCTCTGCCATCTTCTCGGTAGGGTTGCGGGTTCTACGGGCCCGCTTGTTTGCAGGGTAGCTTGCTGCCACGGCCGCTGCAGTAGATGGCTCGTCGTCGCTGTCGTCATCCAGTCGCTGGCGGGATCGCTTCTGGCTCAGCCGCTGCGGCACAAGGAAACAGCTGTGATGGCAATAAACAAAAACGCCACCCGCAATCAACGAGCATGTGGAGGTTGAGCTGTGGACACCAGCAACAGGCTGCCGCTGGCCTGCCCAGCAGCACCATCGCCGCACCCGTGTGATTGGCAGCTCTGAGGAGTCGCTCGCCTCCTGCTCCGCCTCTTCAACAGCTGCAGCGGTACCCGCCTGCAAACCAGTGCACAATTGATAATCAATTGGAGGGTACGCCTGTGGGCCTGCCGCAATAGAGTTGCTTACTTCTTCTTCGTCCATTGTCGCCTGCTGCTGCGCGGCCGCCCCCCGCTGTGCGGGCTCAGCGCCTCGCTCCTGCTGCTGCGCGGCCGCCCCCCGCTGTGCACGCTCAGCGGTCTGCTCCTGCTGCTGCGCGGCCGCCCCCCGCTATGCGCGCTCAGCGGTCTGCTCCTGCTGCTGCGCGGCCGCCCCCCGCTGTGCGCGCTCAGCGGTCTGCTCCTGCTGCTGCGCGGCCGCCCCCCGCTGTGCGCGCTCAGCGCCTCGCTCCTGCTGCTGCGAGGGTGGCTGCTGCTGTGCGGGCTCAGCGCTCCGGCCCTGCTGGGCCCTGCCAGGATTCACCGCTGCTTGCCGAAGGGGCGACGTGAAATCACCTGCGGCAGGGGTGTGAGTGCAGCGACTCAATGAATAGAGACAGCCCCTTCCCCTGACGGGCGAGAGGCTACTCAATTTCCTTCGAGCATTACATCAGGCGGCAGCCGCACCTGGCTCATCGTCTGCTTCATGAGATGTCGCTGGCGTGGTGCGAGTCGGGGCTACCGTGCTGGAGGGGCGCGCCATGCCTGCAACCTTCCTTCTGGCACCCACCGCGGTCAGCGCTGCGCAGCCTGCATGCAAAGCTATCCAACCATTCAATTTAACTTATTGCAAGCATATGGCACTGCCGTGCGGACAAGCAATCGAGAGGCGAGAAGCGAGGCATGCCAGCGGGCAAGGCAGCCGGCTTACCATCCGTGTCGAATGCAGTGCCCGTTGCCAGCTTGATCATGACATCTGCCTGTAACTGAGAGATAACACCTTCTGCCTTCCACAGGTCTATTGCCAAAGCCAGAAACTTGCTGAAATCAATGCCTGCTTTGCCCAGCTCGCCCTTCAGCCGCGACCGCTCGGAGCGGCTGCCGGCGGCGGCGCACCGCTCAGTGAAGAAGTCCTTGAACTCCTCCCAGAACACGATGGAATGGCAAAAGAACTTGATCTCGTGGGAGTAGCCTGACTGAACGGCGATGGCGACGCGCGCCTGTGGATGTGCTTCACAAAACCTTTCCCACGAGTTGAAGCGCGACTTCAGCTGCTTAGCTTGGTTAGCTGCACCGCTCAATAGCGGCGTTGGACCTAGAGCCTTGCTGCCGGACTGGGCACCATGCTCATGTGTGCTCATGGGGGTTGAGTTCGTTGGAAAAGCGTATTACGGTTGCTGGGATGCCAACAGAACAAACGGGAGGGAGAATGATGCATGATTGAGGATGATGTCCCCAATGACCCTCCAGGTGGGGGGCCATCATCATGCCCATCATGGGGCACATCCTTACCGGGAGGCCTACCTGAGCAGAAGTCAAGTTTTGCTGGTTGAGTGACTGCAAAGGACCAGGAGATGGTTCAACACGGTGGCCGAGGAAGCGCATATTTATTATTCAAGATCATCTCAAGGTGCGTTCAGGGGCCCGCAGGCAGCCTGCAGATCCACGTGCATCCTCAGCTGGTCCCGCCCCAACCTAGCTGCCTGCAATCTAGCGGTATTGTGACTGCATTTACGCTCACTGGCCTGCTGCAGCTCACATAGAGGCCCCTGCAACCATGGGCCACGGCGTTGCTCCTGTCGACAGCTCGCCTGGTGACGGCTCGCCGCGTCACTCGGCGTCTGGCTCTGACGAATACAAGAGCCAGAGCGGCCACACCATCCCTGATGTGCACGACATGACTCTCCTGGAGGAGGCCCGTGCCATGATTGCCAAGCAGAAAGCGCAGTGAGTAGGATCTGGCGTGCGCTGGGCGGGTGGCAGCGCTTCAACCGGCGGCGGGTGGCGGTTCACGCGGCGGCGGAGCTAATCAGTTCAACCCCGCTTCACTGCTGCAGGTGGGCCGAGGAGACCGAGGGCTGGACGTGGTACACCTGGCTGAGCTTCTACATTCCCTTCTTTGGCTGGATCCGCACCTACCAGTGGAGGAACTGGCTGCTGGTGAGGGGCTGGTGTGCTCCTTGGCAGCATAAGGTGTTGGCAGCTCGGCACCTGCTGCACGCATGCGAGCTGATGGCTTCAGCTCGTTGAAGAGCTGGCTCCCCTGCCCCACCCCACCATCCCCTGACACCTGCAGTGGGATGTTGCCGCCGGCCTGTCCACCGGCGCCATGGTCATCCCCCAGGGCATGTCGTACGCCAACCTGGCGGGCCTGCCCTACGCCTTTGGCTTGTACGGCGCCTTTGTTCCCTGCATCGTGTATGCCTTCTTTGGGACATCCAGGCAGCTGGTGAGTATGCCCAGGGCGGGTTGCACGGTGCTTGAACATGCACGCGCCTGCCAGGCCTCGTCCCCTGCTTCGGTTCTTATTGCTTGAGCACCCTGGTGCGTGTTGAATCCACACGTCTGCCTGCCTGCCTGCCTGGCCGCAGGTTGTTGGTCCTGTGGCGGTCACCTCCATCCTGCTGGGCAACGGCCTGTCCGACTTCATGCCGTCTGAGGAGGACCCCAACAACCCGGTGGACGCCCAGGTCCAGGAGAACTACAACCACGCCGCCATCCAGATTGCCTTCATCGCCGGCTGCTTCTACTTTGCCTTCGGCCTGTTCCGCATGGGTGAGCGAGGCGCATTGGAGTCTGTACAGGGCCTGAAATCTGCAACGGCAACAGCAGCCTTGAAGTGCGACTGCTGCGTGGCTGGTCTGCAGGCTGGATCACCAACTTCTTGTCGAGCGCCATGATCTCTGGCTTCATGTCTGGCGCCTCCATCATCATCGCCCTGTCCCAGGCAAGCACCAACTGGGCTGGCGTTGCACCGCAGGAGGGCACTGCCACTGCTTCACTTCAGCGCAAGGCAAACAAACATGGAAGACGCGGGCACTCACCACATCCCAGCTTGCACCCTTGCCCCTGCAGGTCAAGTACATTCTGGGCCTGAAGATCCCTCGCACCGACACCCTCCAGGACTCTCTGGACGAGCTGTTCAGCAACCTGAGCCAGTTCAAGTGGCGCGAGTTCTGCATGGGCATGTCCTTCATCTTCCTGCTGCTCGCCTTCCAGTACCTGTCCCGCACCTACAAGTGAGCTGATGGCGGGGTGCAGCGCCAAATGGTCGGCTGCCAGCAACTCCTGTTGGTTTTTGTTACTTGTTAGCTGATGGCGGGGTGCAGCGCCAAATGGTCGGCTGCCAGCAATTCCTGGCAGTTTGTGTTACTTGTTGCCTGCCCCTAATATGCATCCCCACCCCACCGCCACCCACCGCAGGCGGATGGCTTACCTCAAGGCGCTGGGCCCGCTCACCGTGTGCGTCATCTCCATCGCCCTCATGAACATCTTCAACTGGTATGAGCCCAAGGACAAGCCCTACATCAAGCCCATCGGCAACATCCCCAGCGGTGAGCGGGCTGCAAACCAAAAAGGCACATGCAACACAATGTTCTGGACAGTGGATATGGCAGGCCACGCTGGTTGGCGCTTGGTTGATCTCAAACACATCATGCCCTGCCCGCAGGCCTGCCCAGCTTCACCGGCAGCTGGTGGCTGCCCCTGTTTGACGTTGGCCGCCAGATGACGCTGGCTGTGCTCATCTGCATGATCGATGTGTGCGAGTCCATCTCCATTGCCAAGGCGCTGGCCAAGGTGAACAAGTACCAGCTCAACTTCACCCAGGAGCTGCGCGGCCTGGGCATTGCCAACATCGCGGGCGCCCTGTTCAGCGCCTACACCACCACCGGCTCCTTCTCCCGCTCCGCCGTCAACAACTCTGTCGGGTGAGCCTGGTAGTTGGCGAGCGAGAGGATGAGGTCAATGCTATTGACCTGCGAGTAGTTGCCACCGCCAGCGAGCGCTCGCATGCCGGCTCAGCTAGCTGCTGTTTCCCATCCCGCCGCGTCATGCCTGCCCTGCAGCGCCCAGACCCCTCTGGCCAACATGACCACCGGCCTGATGATCATGGTGACCCTGCTGTGGATCACCCCGGTGTTCAAGAACATGAGCCAGAACGTGCAGGGCGCCATCATCATTGTGGGCGTGCTGCAGCTGTTTGACTACCCCGAGTTCCTGTACCTGTGGAAGATCAACAAGTTTGACTGGCTCGTCTGGGTGGCCTGCTTCCTCACCACCCTGTTTGCAGGCGTGGAGATCGGTATCGCCGTTGGCGTGGGTGAGTAGCAGCCGGAACGGAGTGCTACCCCTGCTTGTCCTGCCATGAGCTTGTGGTTGCAATTCTTGTGCTGCACCACAATACTTGTTGTCTGTCATGTTCTCGCGTGCAGGCCTGTCGCTGGTGGTGGTGATCTACAAGGTTGCCTTCCCACGCATCACCCAGCTGGGCCGCCTGCCAGGCACCAACATCTACCGCAGCGTGCGCATGTACCCTGATGCTGAGCCCACCCGTGGCGTGCTGATGCTGCGCATTGACGCGCCGCTGTGGTTCGCTGCCATCGAGGTCGGTGCCGCTCGTTGACTTGCCTGCAGCCATTCCTTATTGCAAGCCAAGCATCAATGCATATGCCCCTTTTGTGCCGGCCGTTTATCCTTGCTGTTCCCAACCCTGACCTGTTCCCAACCCTGACCTGCCGCAGGGCATCAAAGAGTATGTGCGCAATGAGGTGCAGCGGCGCCGGGCAGAAGACAAGCAGTCTGGCGACCCCGTTCGTGTTGTTGTGCTCGATTTGGCGCCCGTCACTGGTCAGTGCACTTGTCTTCTTTCCTACGGTTGGGTGCTTGTGGGTTGGATCGCCGCGAGTCTCACCCTGCTGATGCCCTGCCTGCAGATGTGGATGCCACTGGCAGCCACTTCCTGGACGACTTGGTGGACGAGCTTAACGATGATTCCATCAAACTGGTGCTGGGCAACCCCTCGCAGCAGGCAAGTGGCGGGCCTGGACCAGTCGCCCCTTTCCATCTTTGCCATCCATGCTTTTTTTTCCTTCCTTCCAACCCAACACTTCTGCATGCGCTGATAGGTTGTGCTGTCCCCTTCCGTGCCCACCTGCAGGTGCTGCTGGCGCTCAAGCGCGCAAGCCTGGATCGCAAGATTGGGCGGCAGAACATACATGTCAACATGGCTGACGCCGTGGCGCATGCAGCCGCCCTTGCGCAGGCCCACAACAAGACTGAGCCGGTGGAGGCTGTGTGAGCCGACTCATTACTTCCTAGGCCGCCAGCCCCACCCGTCCTGTCCCACGCTTCACCCAAACTCAATATTGACCCGCCAATGTAGCCGTTTCAGTTAGGCTGTCTAAATTATGCAACTTTCATCCCTGCTCCAGTCGTATGCCTCTGTTGTCTTTTGCATACTTACTGGCGAGCACGGATCGCAGCACCCCTCCCTGGTTTTCTGCCGTGTGGCTGACAAATTCTCGCCTTCCTTCCCCCGACCAATTTGCTGGAGTTCTTTTGCTTGCGCCCTGCGCTTCCACATCGCACTCATCTCAGCATGACTGCAATTTTATTGTAAAGGAACAAAGGGCGCAAAAAACAGTACTGCTGCTAGGGGTGGCAGAGTGCGGGTCGCGTTGCGCTGGCGCGGTGGTTGGCGGGGAAGGCGGGCGCGGGTGCAGCGCCTGCCCTGATCCTCCGCGGCCAGCACGCTCGCACATCGCAAACTGCACCAACTCGAAGCTGTCCGCCTGGCAGTCGGGATCATGCTCCTCAGCTGCTGCACTGCTGCTGCCTCCTGCCCGTCCACCTGCATGGCGCCCGCCTCCTCCTCCTCCGCCGGCGCCGCCCCTCCTGCCTGCTCAGGAGCCTCATCCTGCACCTCAGCTGCTGGAGAAGCCACTGCGTCCGCACCAGTTTGGGCCTGCTCCTGCCCCGCGGCCGCCGCCGCAGGCGCCTCGGCCTGCTGCTGCTCCTTCGCCACGCGCTCCTCCATCTGGCGGTGCAGCTTTAGCAAATCCAGCCGCACTGCCGCTGCCACTGCCAGCACACTGTCCTCCATCCCCTCCAATGTGGGCCGCATGTGGTGGGTGGAGAAGCGGGCGCTGCCGTCGCTGCAGGGGAGCATGCAGGCGCCAGCAAGCAGGGTGCGAGAAAGTGAGGTAGGTTGCCAGTCAGCACAGGCTGGTTGCCGGATGCGAAGCTCCGCACACCGCAGCAGCAGCCCATACGCAGCACCAGCCTTGGGCCCACCTGGCTGCGCTGGTCATGCGAGAGTTGGTTATGCCAGCGCCCTGCAGCACTAGAGGCTGCCGCCGCGCTGATCCACACAAGATGAGCGCCCGCAGCTTCTCGCTCTGCTCTGCCCCGCCGACAGCCCCTGCCCGCTTCCTGTTGGTGGTGCTGCGGACGCCCATCAGCTCCTCAACCTCATGCCGGTTCTCCATGTTCTTGGCGGTCAGCAGAAACGCCTCCCTGCGCAAGGCGGCCGGCAGAAAATTGCATGAAGGAGCAAGGCAGGTGCACTGTGGTTCAAAGGCTGGAATTGGCTGGGGCGCCTGCCCAGGTGTCATCCGTCGGCAGCTGACGCTGGTTGAGGAAGCAGCCTGGCGGCCGCAGCTCACTTGTAGCGGTCAGCCCCCAGCTTAATGTTGGAGCAGCTGGTCATCTCGGACTGCAGCTTGTGGAGCAGTTCCTGGCCGCGATGGTGGCCCACAAAGGGATGCCGGCGCGCCAGGGCGTGGGCGGAGTGGTTGACCTGCTGCAGATGATGCTCCAGGGTCATGTCGATGGTGAGCCTGGGCATGGTGCCCTCGGTCCAGGTGCACAGCGATGGCCAGCATCGCCGGCACGACATCCTGCAGGCTGGGAGCCGGCGGTGCGTGAGCGCGCCAGCAACCACAGCCTGGCGTGCCAACAGCAGCGAGCACAGCCTGGCGTGCCCACGGTATACAGCACCCACCTGATACCATTTGTCAAAGGCAGCCTCGCGCTCCTTGGGGGTGGCGGTACGGTCGTTAGCCTGCAGGTACACCAGCAGCGCCTACAGCGCCTTGGGCAGATAAAACTCGAAGAAGGAGTGGATGACGTACAGCTGCTGCATGCGGCCTCGCGGACACGATTGGGGATGGTGGCGTCTGCCGTCACGCTGGCAACGCTAGCCTGCAAAGGGAGCCAGGCAGCAGGCGGGCAGGCAGGCAGGCAGCCAGATGGCAGCAGGCATAGGTGCAGGCTGCAGATGCAGGCAAGCAAGCAGCCACTCGTTCACCGGCCAGCCAGCTGTGCAGGAAGACAGGCAGGAAGGCCGCAAGCTGCCAACCCACCACCAGTGCATCATCACAGTGTACCCCCACCTATGCCTGCAGGACCAGCACATATACTGCCACCAGCTGCCACATGTGTGTGGAGCGATAGGCGGTGACAGCACAGGAGATGGCCATGAACAGGTGGCGCACAAACAGCTGCCAGAACTCGGCCTGTATGGTCTCCATCACCCGCAGCACCACATGGAACCAGCACAAGAAGCATAAGAAGACCACCAACGCCTTGCAGCAGCGACACAGGCGGCGGTGCCGCCTGCAGACTTCCGGGCATTGGCTGGGCGCGGCTGAGGGTCCTGGGAGGGCTGCTGGTCGCTCTCCGTGCTGGAACCGCTGGCCTGGCGCAGCAGCACGTGAGGCAATCATGCCGCGTGCGAGTCAGACGCCTGCTCCTCGGCTGGGGGAAGGGGGCGCCAGGGGCAAGGCGCCAGCAAACACCAGCTGTCGCTGTCGCTGCCGCTGCTGCGCTGCCTCTGATTTCTGCACCCTGATGTGACGTGCAGGCTGCTCCACACCCTCCTGGAGCTGCAGCACGCGGGTCTGCCCCTCTGGCCCTGGCAGCACAGGCTGGGGCTGCGGCTCGCTCGCCGCTGCCACCGCCTCTGCCAGGGCCTGTGCCTGCTTTTTTTGCCCGCATTCAGCCGCTCCCCCCGCTGCTTGTCGGCTTTCCACCTCTTACGCTGCATCCCCTGCTGCTTCCCCTTGGGACATCACTGCTGCAGTAGCTGCAGGAGCGCTCTGCTGCTGCTCCTGCCGCCACCGCCAGGCGGCCACCACCCTGCACCTCCAGCGACCCTGCAGCACATGTCGGGCGGCGATTTGGTGCATGCCGTGGTTCGTGCAGGGGCCAGGCGGTCCACAGGTAGCACAGGAGGCAAAGTTTGGCACATGGCCCCGCGGCGATCACTTTGCTGGCGAGCCTGCTCGTGCATGCACGCCGCTGCCGCAAAGCGCAAATCTGTCGAGGCGATTGGGCTGGCATGGGCCCATGAGGCGGGGCGGGCACCCGTTCACAGCGGACCCGCGCCGCCCCGAAATGTGTCACCGCCGCTTCGTCACGACGCTGGCTGCGATTCTCCAACTGACCTGTACTGTGTCCTCCGCAAATCTGTCGTGGCGCTTCGCCCCAAACGCCCGCCCCGCCATAGGGCACACCGGCGCCCCACTGATGGCCGCCGCTGGCTGGTGTCGGGCGGGCGGCTGAGCGGGCGGGCGTGAGGCCTGAGTGTCTCAGATGACAGCTCACATGCATGTGAGCAGTGGTGTGGGGGAGGAATGAGTCGAGATGTGCCCGGGCATCCTGGGTACCTGGCCCCCTCCCGCACGGTGACACCTGGGGTGCAGTCACTGCCAGATGTATCAAGGAATGGGCGGAGATGCAAGGAATCATGGAAGGGGGTGCCAGTCATGGCCAACACGTCACCATTCCCCTCCAAATGCCGCACTTGGTTCCCTGACCGATGAAATGTGCGGGTGATTGTAGGGGAGAGTCGATAGATGTCCAGACTATGGTTTGTGCCAGGTCACGGTGCCTGCAGGAGCTGCCGGCAATTCTTGATCTTTCGCTGCACCACCGTCCCCTCAATCGTTATCGATATATATCGCTGCAGGGCCCTTTTTGCGCGGAAGGTAGGCAAGGCTGCGGTCCACCTGGGGATGCGGCGGCAGTGTGCCTTCTGGCATGCCATTTCTTTGTTTCTTCGTTGAGGCTCAAATGCATGTCCACAGTGTCTCACGCAGGTTCATTGCGCAGCAGAAGTCGGGTGCCCTGAGATAGTCGAGACATGTCGGGTATTGCCGGTGCGGCGCCGCCATCACCGTCGTCAGACGGCTCGCACAAGGACTCTGCCGGCTCCAGCGAGTTCAAGAGCCAGAGCGGCCACAGCATCCCTGATGTGCACGACAAGGCGCTGCTCGATGAGGCCCGCTCCCTGCTTGGCACGCAGCGCACCAAGTGAGTGGATGCAGGCGGGTGGGACTGTGGGGGATCTGTTGCAGGTTGGCCGTCTCAGTGAGAGCAGCGCTCTTTGCTGCAGGCTGGGTTACTCTGCTGCCTTGTTTGCTGCTGCAGGTGGGCTGAGGAGACCGAGGGCTGGACGTGGTACACCTGGCTGAGCTTCTACATTCCCTTCTTTGGCTGGATCCGCACCTACCAGTGGAGGAACTGGCTGCTGGTGTGGGGCTGGTCTGCACCTTGGCAGCATAAGGCGCTGGCAGGTCTGCACCGGCTGCATGCATGCGATCTGATGGCTTCAGCTTGTTGAAGCGCTGGCTCCCCTGCCCCACCCCACCATCCCCTGACACCTGCAGTGGGATGTTGCCGCCGGCCTGTCCACCGGCGCCATGGTCATCCCCCAGGGCATGTCGTACGCCAACCTGGCGGGCCTGCCCTACGCCTTTGGCTTGTACGGCGCCTTTGTTCCCTGCATCGTGTATGCCTTCTTCGGGACATCCAAGCAGCTGGTGAGTATGCCCAGGGTGGCTCGCAGGGTGGCTGTGCTGAACATGCGCGCGCCTGCCAGGCCTCGCCCCCTGCTTCGGTTCTTATTGCTTGAGCACCCTGGTGCGTGTTGAATCCACACGTCTGCCTGCCTGCCTGCCTGGCCGCAGGTTGTTGGTCCTGTGGCGGTCACCTCCATCCTGCTGGGCAACGGCCTGTCCGACTTCATGCCGTCTGAGGAGGACCCCAACAACCCGGTGGACGCCCAGGTCCAGGAGAACTACAACCACGCCGCCATCCAGATTGCCTTCATCGCCGGCTGCTTCTACTTTGCCTTCGGCCTGTTCCGCATGGGTGAGCGAGGCGCATTGGAGTCTGTACAGGGCCTGAAATCTGCAACGGCAACAGCAGCCTTGAAGTGTGACTGCTGCGTGGCTGGTCTGCAGGCTGGATCACCAACTTCTTGTCGAGCGCCATGATCTCTGGCTTCATGTCTGGCGCCTCCATCATCATCGCCCTGTCCCAGGCAAGCACCAACTGGGCTGGCGTTGCACCGCAGGAGGGCACTGCCACTGCTTCACTTCAGCGCAAGGCAAACAAACATGGAAGACGCGGGCACTCACCACATCCCAGCTTGCACCCTTGCCCCTGCAGGTCAAGTACATTCTGGGCCTGAAGATCCCTCGCACCGACACCCTCCAGGACTCTCTGGACGAGCTGTTCAGCAACCTGAGCCAGTTCAAGTGGCGCGAGTTCTGCATGGGCATGTCCTTCATCTTCCTGCTGCTCGCCTTCCAGTACCTGTCCCGCACCTACAAGTGAGCTGATGGCGGGGTGCAGCGCCAAATGGTCGGCTGCCAGCAACTCCTGTTGGTTTTTGTTACTTGTTAGCTGATGGCGGGGTGCAGCGCCAAATGGTCGGCTGCCAGCAATTCCTGGCAGTTTGTGTTACTTGTTGCCTGCCCCTAATATGCATCCCCACCCCACCGCCACCCACCGCAGGCGGATGGCTTACCTCAAGGCGCTGGGCCCGCTCACCGTGTGCGTCATCTCCATCGCCCTCATGAACATCTTCAACTGGTATGAGCCCAAGGACAAGCCCTACATCAAGCCCATCGGCAACATCCCCAGCGGTGAGCGGGCTGCAAACCAAAAAGGCACATGCAACACAATGTTCTGGACAGTGGATATGGCAGGCCACGCTGGTTGGCGCTTGGTTGATCTCAAACACATCATGCCCTGCCCGCAGGCCTGCCCAGCTTCACCGGCAGCTGGTGGCTGCCCCTGTTTGACGTTGGCCGCCAGATGACGCTGGCTGTGCTCATCTGCATGATCGATGTGTGCGAGTCCATCTCCATTGCCAAGGCGCTGGCCAAGGTGAACAAGTACCAGCTCAACTTCACCCAGGAGCTGCGCGGCCTGGGCATTGCCAACATCGCGGGCGCCCTGTTCAGCGCCTACACCACCACCGGCTCCTTCTCCCGCTCCGCCGTCAACAACTCTGTCGGGTGAGCCTGGTAGTTGGCGAGCGAGAGGATGAGTGCAATGCTGTTGACCTGCGAGTAGTTGCCACCGCCAGCGAGCGCTCGCATGCCGGCTCAGCTAGCTGCTGTTCCATCCCGCCGCGTCATGCCTGCCCTGCAGCGCCCAGACCCCTCTGGCCAACATGACCACCGGCCTGATGATCATGGTGACCCTGCTGTGGATCACCCCGGTGTTCAAGAACATGAGCCAGAACGTGCAGGGCGCCATCATCATTGTGGGCGTGCTGCAGCTGTTTGACTACCCCGAGTTCCTGTACCTGTGGAAGATCAACAAGTTTGACTGGCTCGTCTGGGTGGCCTGCTTCCTCACCACCCTGTTTGCAGGCGTGGAGATCGGTATCGCCGTTGGCGTGGGTGAGTAGCAGCCAAAATGGAGTGCTGACCCTACTAGTCCTGCCATGAGCTTGTGCTTGTAATTACTGTGCTGCACCGCAATATGTGTTGCCTGTCATGTTCTCGCCGCGCAGGCCTGTCGCTGGTGGTGGTGATCTACAAGGTTGCCTTCCCACGCATCACCCAGCTGGGCCGCCTGCCAGGCACCAACATCTACCGCAGCATCCTCATGTATCCCGAGGCAGAGACCACCCCTGGCGTGCTGGTGCTGCGCATCGATGCAGCCATCCAGTTCTTCTGCTGCGAGGCAAGTGCGGCAGCTGTCCAGCCAGGACATTTTGAGATGCTGCTTCTGGTCCTTCTTAGTGGTGCGATCTCGATTGCATTTCTACTGTTGCAGGGCATCAAAGAGTACATCCGCAAAGCTGTGCAAAAGCGTCGGGCACAAGACAAGCAGTCTGGCGACCCCGTACGGGTGGTGGTGCTTGATCTAGCACCTGTGACAGGTGATGGTATCCAGAGGACAGGAGAAAGGGAGGGAGAAATGGTGCTTCTGAATCTCGCATTGCTGCCCAAGGTCTGCTCACGCGGCCTATCATAGCGGGGTGACTGTAACACAATAGGCTGCTGTTTGTGAAAACATGACCAACCCGTTGTGCCTTGCCTTCTCCTTCCATCAGACATCGACGCCACTGGCATCCACTTCCTGAGCGACTTCCTGGACGAACTTCATGACGATTCTATCGGGCTCGTGCTGGCCAACCCCAACAAGCGGGTCAGTGCCGGTTCTCATCCTTTCATGTGGCTTGGCCTGCTCAATGCCAGCATTACATGCACAGCCAAGTCTGATTAGCCGCTCTTTCACGCTGTGGTGCTCTACTGCCGTGCGCAGGTGCTGCTGGCACTCATGCGCGCACACCTGGATCACAAGATTGGGCGCCAGAACATCCGCGTCGACATTGCTGATGCAATCGGCCAGGCAACGTACCTGGTGGAGGGCCGCAGGACTGAGGCGGTGTAGGCTGGATGAGCTGCCGCCGGTGTGCCAGTGGCCACTGGGCCCATGGGCAGCGCCCCGTCAAGATAAAAAATGCTAGCTGCATCCTGCTCAGCACGCACTAGCAACAGTACCACACAGTCATTGAAGTTCCTTTCAGATTCCGCCTTCAGGCGACAAACTCAACCCAGCGCGCCGTTTTTTCAGAAGAGCGTCCATCTCTTCTTCATCGAGCCCCGATTTCAAGTGCCGTCGTCTCAAGTACCCCCCTTGTTCTGTCTATCATCATTCCTGCAGATTCCCAGCAGCACATGCTAGCGTTCAACTCCTTTGTTCTGCCGTAGCTCGTCGAATCCCCAGCAACCGCCGCATGCATGACGGCGCTACCGCCACTCCATTTTCGTATCATAGCGGCTCCATCTTGTATCAATCAAACAAAGAGCCCGGAAAATGTGGACACAGCAGAGCCCATTGTGACACAGTGGCCCATTGTGCACACTGCATGCCGCTGAGCGCAGCACACAGCATGAATGCCAAGCTATGCAGCTCACGGGGTTGTGCATGAACTTGTGCATGCTCAGCAGCAAAATAACAGAGGCGCGCCGTTCTCTTGCTTCGTGGCTGGGCATCGCGTACGGGTGCAGCATGCTGCACGACGCTTCGACACGCCCATCGTAGCAAACCAAGGTGCCGATGGGTCGCGCCGCCTCGCCGGCCCACCAGCCCGCCGCTCGCCCGCCGCCCCCGCCCACCAGCCGGCCCTTCGCCCGCCGCTCCCGCCCCGCCCTGCTGCTGCACGCTCTCAGACGTTCATACTCTTTGATGTGCTCTGCAGAAGCAATCGTACCTTTTGTTTGCATAACTAAGCCACCAGGTGGTGGTTTGCAAGTCACCCCCTCGCTCGCCACCAGCCCAGTGGCAGCACGATGGCGGCGGTCCCCTCCCCCGACACTCCGGGTGGCCCCAACTTCCTGCGGTGGCTCCAGTTCAGAGTTAGCGGGTTTGAGTGCCCCTCCGTCTACCAGTTGGTGAATCCATCGGCAAGGGCGGTGAGTATCTGCTACTGGGCAGATGCGAACAGGCGAGGTCCACCGCACCAACTCAGTCACTCCCAGGATGCTCTCCTCCCCCCCGCCGTAGCCTATGGCATCGTGTGCGCCGCAATCGACTCCCGCACCAACCAGCAGGCGGCCATCAAGAAAATCGGCGACATCTCAGCAACCCGCTGGACGCGCGGCGCACGTTGCGCGAGATCCAGGTGCGAGCGCGCCCCGCTGCGTGATCCTGCAGCCTCTGCGTGATCGTGCACACCTCTGGCCAGCTTAGCACCGAAGTCGCGCGTGCAACTTTGGCCCGCTGCGGCGCAGATTCTGCGGCACGTGCGGGACCACAGCAACGTCATTACCCTGCCCACCTCTTCCCGCCGTCGGTGGGCCTCAACGATTTCAGGCAAGCCAGTTTTCTGTTGTTCTCCATCCGCAATCTCTGCTGCTGGGCAACCTCAAATTCAAACAAATGACATCAGTTATTGGGAGGACAAGACAATCTTCGGTCGTGTCAATTCCATAGTCATTCCTTTGCCTGCCACCTGCCACCCGCCCCATCCTCCCAGGGATGTGTGCATGGTGTATGAGATCATGGACACCGACCTGCACCAGATCATCAGCTCGCCGCAGCCGCTGTCGGGTGAGTCAGGTTGCTGCCTGGCGCCCGGCAGACCCTGCGCTGACACAACAACCTGTGCACTTGTTCAATGGTCGGGCGGCATTGCAGTTTGCAGCAGACACGAGACCGAATGTGGGATTGTGTATGATGTTTGCTTGCACGCCCGTCCCCTCCACATGCCAAGCAGATGAGCACATGCAGTTCTTCATCTACCAGCTCAAGTACCTGCACTCGGCTGAGGTGGTGCACCGCGACCTCAAGCCCTCCAACCTGCTGCTCAGTGACAACTGCGTGCTGCGCATCTGCGACTTTGGGCCAGCTGGTGAGGCAGCCGGCTGCTGCTGTACTATGCAGGCAATTGTGCCCTGTTGGTTGTACACGTCGTTGAGAGAACATACTCCTTATGTCCTTACAGGATGATGAAGGTATGTCACCACTTGACATGCTGATACCCTTTACCCCAGGCGCGTGCCTACCTGGCCAGCATGCCCTACTTCCCCAAAGGAGGTGAGTGCAACGCCTTTCTTTTTGGAGATGTCGAGCGTGCGTATCGCACTTCAGCAAAGCAGCATGTGTGGCTCACTCTTTCCTCGATTCAGCTGCGTCAAGGTTCCCCTTCTGCCTGTGCCTTTCTCCTGTTTGCAGACGTGTAGCAGTATTTCCCCAGCGCAAGCACGCACGTCATCGACCTATTGGACCGGCTGCTCACCTTTGATCAGCGTGCGAGGCTGCTGAGCGGGCGCCTTCCTGCAAGGCGGCGACTACAACAGGCGCACCGCTTCCCTCCCAGGCTGGACAGCCGACCCCGACCAGGTGTGCCCAGTGCGCAGCAGCCGCGACAAACCAGCCCCCACTGCCACGGTCAGCAGCTGCTCAGCCTCTGGCGCAGGGCAGCACAGCACGCATCTGCAACGGCAGAGTCCCAGGTGCCACCAGCGGCGACCCCACCAGCTTTCGCAGCAGGGGCAATGGACGGGCAGTGGTGGACCACTTTCTGGCCAGCCACAGTCTGCTGCCGCTGCCGCCGGCAATGGCAGTCGACGGGTGGGGCATGGCAGCCCAGCTCTCAGACCATGCCACGCTGCTGCTGGAGCTGGCAGCCCCTCAAAGTGCAGCCCAGGCTGCTGAGGCGCAGCCAGGACAGGATCAACAGCCCCCACAGCAGCGGCAATTTGTAAGGGTCGGCGGAGCTGGCAGCGGCCACGGCGCTGCTGGCCGGCGCACAAGAACAGTCAGATGCCTTGCCGGCAGCGGCAGAAGCAGCCACGGACCCCGTGACCTTGGGAGAAGTGGCAGCGGCGTTTGCTCAGCTTATGGTGGACACTCCTGGAGCAGGCAGGCATGCGCAAGCACAGCGGCGGCGGCAAGCAGCAGCAACAAGGCCTCCCACGCAGCCTACAGCCGCAGTACGGCGTGCGGGACGCACACCGGGCGAAGCGCATTTTGGCACGGCAGGCCACTACAGCCCGGCGCCGGGGCGACGGAGCGTGCCAGCAGCAGCGGCCCTGCAGTGAGAGCTGGGGCGCTGCCGCAACTGAGTGCGGCGGCGGCTGACGGCAGCTGTGGAGCAGTACCGTACCCTCCGCGGCGAGCAGCTGGAGCAGCTGGCGAAAGCCGACCCGCAGGCCTTCTTCCTGAGGTACAAAAGCAGGAGTGCCACGCTGCTTGACAGCATGCGGACACCAGCCACTACCAGCAACTGCTTGGGCCCAGCTTCCCCTCAGCTGCCAGCAGAGTGCCCACCACCTGAGCCGCCACCGGCCGCCCCCGCCACCCACCCCGCCACCACCGTCGCCATGCCCCACGCCCCCACCGCAGCAGCGCAGCTGGCGGCGGCAGGGGTGAAGGAAGGCGCCTCCTGCACCCCCACCGACGACGACACTGCGACCAACCAGCCCGCCACCGCTCCCGCCACCCCAGCCGCCACTCCCCCTGACGTCTACACAGCCTGGCGGCGGGTGGAGCTGGCCACTCTGACGCGCTCAGCGTCATCGCACCCATCCTCAAGCAGGACCCAATTACCAGCTGCAGGAGCTTGCGCAGCATGGCCATCGGCACCATGGCAGCCAAGCTGTACGCCGCCATCCTGGAGCAGCGCATCTCAGACTGGGCAGAGGCCAGCAACTTCACAGCGGCAGGGCAGTTTGGCTTCAGGCGCCAGCGTATCACAGCACAGGCGGCACTCGTGCTGCGAGCACTTCAAGACCAGCACCGGCAGCTGGCGCTGCTGCAGCCGTACTGCCAGCAGCGGGGCCTCACCGTCGACATCGCCACAACCAAGGTCATGCTTGCTCAGCGGGCGGCGGACCCAGCACGCGGCACAGCAGGCAGCAAAGGCAGCGGGCCTCACCTTCGCCGGCCATCAGCCGGCGGCAGTCACCAGCTTCAAGTACCTCGGCATCGTCTTCCACTCCAGCACCTGCCTGGCGGGTGCAGCAGCACCCCCCAGGGCACAGCTAGCGTGCCTGGCAATGCACAATTGCCGGGCCCGCTGCGCAGAGCTGGGCATCGAGGCAGCGCCCATCCAGCTGCGGCTCTTTGGCACCATGGTGGACTCGGTGCTGTCTCGTGGCGCTGAGGTGTGGGGCGTGCAGCTGGCGGCCAAAGCGGCGGGCTGCCAACGCGGCTGTGCAGGCAGCGCTGCTGAGAAGCTGCAGTTCAGCTACCTGCCGCACCTTCTGGCTGGACCTGCAGCAGCCAGCGCCTGTGGACCTGGGCAAGCTCGGCGACGCTGCCCAGCGGCGCCAGCTGGCGCAGCTCCAGACGGCGGTGGCGAAGGGCGGCGCCCGCCGGCTGGAGCACTATGTGCACAACGTGGTGGGCGCCCTCAACCTAGCGCCCGCCATGTTTGGGCAGCGCGAGACCTACCTGGACGCAGTGCGGCGGCGGCAGGACCGCGAGGCGCTGGCGCAGCTGCACAATGGCGCCCACTGGGGCACGGAAGAGACTGGCCGCTGGCTGCGGCGCCCCCGAGAGGGGCGAGTCTGCCCCCACTGCCACGCTCTGCCTCCAGTACCCCAATCTGTTCTCTGAGCCCCTGCCCGTCCACCGCTTCCTCCAACCCCCCGCCCGCGTCGCCGCCTTTGCCGCCGCCCAAGCCGCCACCTCCACTCTGCCAGTCACACCACCATGCCCAAGTAAACCCTCTCAAGCAAGCTTATAGCGGCATGCACGCAGCGGCGGCCGTATAAACACAACCTTCTCAAGGAGGGGAACGACCGTAAATCCGGGTGGACGACTGCCAGCTCAGCGTGAACAAGTACCCCCAAGGTGCTTTTGCAGCGGCTGCCCATTCCTTTGTTCACACGAAACGCACGATATCGCTCAAGCTGCCTCGTTCGAGGCGGGGGCCGTAATGGGCTTGCCCCCACTGTTCAGGGCTTCTTCGCCCTCGCGGCGGCGCCTGTTCTGGCTGCTGATGGCGCTGGTGCGCAGCGGGGGCCACTGTTGCAGAGCGATGCGAGGCCCAAACCGAGGCTCCGAGGCTCACCTGAGTTACGCACATATTATACATAGCCTATTATAGCCTATTATAGCCTATTATAGCCAACAGTAGCCCACCCGTCCGCTCACAGAGAGCCATCGCGCCGGCCTCGCGCCGATCACCCCCACACCCCCACCCTCCACACTCACCCACCCACCCATCAGCATGTCAAGCAGCGAGGGAGCCAGCCTTGGGCAGCGCAGCCAGCAGCCGATCAGCAACCCGGCCTCCCGGGCATCCCTGCGGCCCGATTTCCCCCATATCGTGGTCAAGGGGCTCGCTCTGGAGGCCGGTGGGGGCCTGGGGGCCGCAGTCGCAGCCTTCGTTTTGTTTTGCCGGGCCAGCCTTCACCTGCCAGTGCCTGACTGTGTGCCTGTGACCTGCGTTGAGATTCGGGTGCGTGGGGACGGGCGCAGCGAATGCCACCTGCGACTGACTCCTGCCCTGTGCGGCGCCCTGATGGGTGCCCGCCGCCGCCTTTCGTGGGCAGCACCAGAGGTCAGCATTGACCTCTGGCGCTCACCTGGGGAGCTACAATACCTCCATGAGCTGCGCCAGCAGCGCGCGGA